TTTGGGTTTGGCTCTCTTAGTTTTAACACGGTATTTAAAAAGCCCACTATCTCAGTGTGAAAAAAGCCTTGGAAATCCATAACAGGGCATCTTATGTAACCAACAAAGTTTGATTATGCCCAATAGAGATGTGTAAAACAGCTGAAATCTGATTAGTTATTCGTTTTGGAGATTCGGATGTCCCCCACTTCAGTTAATAAAGTTTGAAGGGGGTCCTGTTTCAATTTGTAATACAAATTTCCGAAGCTTCATAATTGCCTCGTCAAGATTTGCCCCATTAGCGGCAATGGGGAAAATTTAGGGGCTTATTTCTGTCATATTTATGGCTATCAGGATGACACTCAGCATACATATAGGCCACATTTACAAGTTTAAGCCTGCCAAGTTTCTGAAGTTTCAAGTTTTAGGAAATTCTTAAAGTTTTTGCAAATATGTTTTTTTATTATTATAAAAGGTATCCTCTTGAATTTCTGCACAATGAGACAACATACGCAGGGCATCAATCCTGCAAAGTCTAAGAGAGATTAATTAATCTAGTGAATTCTAAGAATTTTCTTTTGATTTTTGAAAAATTTTGATTTTTCAAAAAAAATTCCAGAGGTATCCACTCAAATTGTTGTACAGTGAGACAACATGATCAGGGCAGCAAGCCTGCCAAGTTTAAAAACAATCAGTCTATCCACTGATTTTTAAGGTTTATTTTTTCAATTTAAGCACATGTGATTAACCTACACTGGGGCTTTAATGTGGACAGCCCCGTTCTTTTGGCAAGAGCAGAATTCTGGGAAATGTAGTTTAGGGTGAAGCCTCTTGAATATTCTGCTACAGAGGTCTTAGCCTCCTCAAACTAAATTTCCCCCAAATTTTGTTCATGTCAGAAGAATGAGGCTACAGTTTTAAGAGAACTAAGGGGAAGGTAAGGTCTGTAAAGTTTGGAGAGTTTGGGAATTTGGAAAATGTAAGTTTCGGGTATGACACAAAGACACTAATAGCCCCCCACTCCACCACAATAGTATCCCCCCCATGGCCCCATCCATTCACGCTTGTTGCTTTGGACACATCCATTTTTACCTCAGAGGGGTGCCTCAGCTCTGGGAGAAACCACCGAGAAGGAGGGGGCGAGGTCCTCCACTTGCCTCAGAAAGCAGGAGCCACTGCCAGCAATGCCGGCCTTGCTCCAAATCAACAAATCTTTTGTGAATCTCTCAGAAAATTTCAGAGGCCAGTGTTTTGATTCATAAATGTTTTGGAGGGGTCCTTTCCAATTTGTAATTCAGCCGAATCTCCAGAGCTCCAAACCTTTGCACACCCCTAATGCTCAAGAGTCAGAGCCACCTCATTCTCTTATTGGTCAAAGGGAGTCTACTCCTTTGCCCAAATTGTTTTAGCAGCTTTCACCAAACCTGAATTCAATTTTTATATTTAGCTAGAATATTTTTATAATAAAGCTTGGCATAATAGACAGCAATCCCCTTGAGCAGGTTAGCTAAACCTGATATGAGAAATATGTTAATATGTTGGACTACGTTTCTTCTAATGCTGGCTGGGGAATTCTAGAAGTTGTAGTCTAAATTCACACAGCTGTGTTCCCAGTCTAAGAAACCTCTATCCCAATGCTCCACATGTTTGCCAAGAGGCAAGTCCCATTGCATTCAATAAGCTTTACTCAATATACCAATAGTTGTTTCCTCAGTCCAATAACGTAAACAGAAGCCCAGCTGCTCTGCTTGACAGATGGGAAACAAAACTTTCAAAAGCTAGAAATGTTGCAATCTCAGTGAAATGTGGGTGTCAGTGTTCTGACTGATGTTTAAGGAGTGGTTCTTTGGGCTTTCTATTTTGCTCAGTCAAGATTGCCAGCAAAGGGTTTCTGTTAATGGATTGACACGTCCCATAGGTTTCCCAAAGCCACAGGCTGCAATATTTAGCTGATAATAACAACATGATTGCTATCCCAAGACTTCCAAAGGTGCCTAGTATTTTTTGCCACCATCCAGCAAAATAGCTGAAAACATAGAGCACGATGTTCAAGCAATGCCACAAAGTACTTCGCCCCAAGGGCTTCAAAGAACAGAACCTCACTGCTATTATCTTAGATCAAAATAACTTTGTTCTGTGGGAAACCTGCAGCCCCAACAGGCAGAGAATGTGTGGCTAGGATAGACGACTGCCGTATGTGCAAGTATGACCAAGATGAAAGTTGCCTTTTTCTACAAGGGAACTATTTTAGAGCAATATACACTTGTCAGGGACAGGGGGTGGGGATGCAAAACCAATAAATTACAGGGCTGTGTCTACACCACAATCCTGGCCTTTAAATGTGACCGGGACTATAATGATGGGCCAGCCTCAGAGGAATGTTAACTAGGGCTTGTGAACCAATAGGCATTTAGTAGAACATCGTCCGAGAAATCCCAAATGGCAAAGCAAGCTGGAACAGCCCCTGAATGTGTGATATTTGGGTGATTTCCTACCATGTCAGAAATAAAGGGATTTCTGAGATAATACAATCAGACCTATCTTATGTTTCCTGTTCCTGAGGGTAAAAATGACGAATTCACAAATTGCAGCGACAATATGATTAATGTAAGCCAATGAGTGATAATATTTGAATGTATGGAAGTAGTGGCCACCAGTGTCTATGTGGCAAATTATTACAAATCATCCCTTTCCAAATCTTGACACCTTCCAGACGTGTTAGTCTACAAATGCCAGCATAGCCAATGGCTAAGGTGTCTGGAGATCATGGAAGATGAACACTAGGTTGGGAAAATAACATAAGCCAGAGCCCTGTTTGTGCTGCCTCTCCTTGCTCCATTGTGGGAAGAGTTTGTTTATTGGGGACTGATAAACAGGAAGAACATGTTCTGAGTTGATCCAGTTAAAAGACTGCAGCACAAACACCGAATTATACTAAAATGATAATTTTTTAGGTTTGTCTAAACTGTTGAATTAATACGGTTGAACACCACTATAATTGCCTTGTCTATGGACCAGCACACTAGCAGAGAAGGTTAAACATCTCGTAAAACTACCACACTCATGATTCTGTAGCATTGAGCCATGACAGTTAAAATGGTGTAAAAGTACATTCCTTCTACAATGTAGAATGCTTCCTTTGTTATGTGGATTTTTGCCATCTTTTTGAGTAATGGCAGCAAGCAGGTACAACCTAACTCACAAAAATATGTTGGAGTTTAGTTTATTCATCCTATTGCCTTCCCAAAATGGAAACCAAGTGTAAAGAAGATGAAAAACCCTCTCAATTCCTGGTGATGCATTTTGTAAGAGTGTATACCAGGCATGGGCAAACCTTGACCCTCCAGGTGTTTTGGACTTCAACTCCCACAATTCCTAACAGCTGGTAGTTTGCTCATGCTTGTTATATACTATGGGTCCTTCCACTCAGCCATATAACCCAGAATTTCAAGGCAGATAATGTGCAATATCTGCTTTGAACTGGGCTATCTGAGCCTACACTGCCATATAATCTAGTTCAATGTGGATTTTATACAACTGTATTAAAGGGGCTTATTTGTTGCTTGAGCTTGTCGTGGGATAGGTTTTACACTAGTAAAACTGGTGGTGATAAACCTATTCAGACAGGTTCTGCTCAAGAGTATAGCTAACTCAGGCCTTACTTATATTTGTAGATAATTTAGAGCAGGCATGGGCAAACTTCAGCCTCCTGGTGTTTTGGACTTCCAGGAATCCCAGTCAGCTTACCAGCAGTTTGAATTATGGGAGTTGAAGTCCAAAACACCTGAAGAGCTGAAGTTTGCCTATGCCTGGTTTAGAGTGATCCATCCAGTGAAGCCTGCATGCACATCTGGTACAAATCCTCCAACTTTTCAGAGATGACAACTTGAATAAATGTTGTCAAGCAGCATCAAATATGGTCAGGACAGATGGCAGATGTTATTAATGAGGAAGAATACTGAAGCTAGAAGAAGACACAGCAGTTTGCTTTGGCCTGAATCTTTATGAAAGGTCACAATTCTGTATTATCTGCCCCTCACTTTTTCATTATGAATTCAGTTTGCAGCAATTGAAATAATATGATGATAGAGGAAAATGGGAGACATTTAAATATTTTGAAGTGGATTGATAGAGGATCAATAGGTATTGACCTTGCCAAATTGGAACAGTTGAAGGGTATGCAAACTTCTCCAGATTATTGTCATAATTCCATTCACATTAGATCAAGGCAGGGGACTCTGTGGCCCTGCTTAAATTGTTGATCTAAAATTCCTGTAATCCTTTGCATTTGGCTGTGATGTCTAGGATTATTAGCAATTGCTGGGAGAGCCACTTGTTCCCAGACCTGCATCTCACAATCACTTTTTAAAGCAAATTGAGATTATAATTCCCCATGTATGGTTACTCTGGAGTAAGCCTTTCTGACTAAAACAGAAAACATTAGTGAGGAGCACACATAGGAATGCACTGTAGGCTATATGCAAATTCATTTCTCTGTGTATGACCATGTCTCATCTTGTGCCTACAGGTGAGTTCCACACAAGATTTCAATAAACTCTTATAATCACATGTTTATATTCTGAGGCACGGTCTTCTAGGATTTGTGGGCTTGTGAGCAGGGCCTGCAAAAACTAAGCTTTTTTCATGTCAGGAGTGACTTGAGAAACTGCACGTCACTTATGGTGTGAGAGAATTGGCACCTGCAAGGACGTTGCCCAGGGGTCACCCAGATGTTTGATGTTTTACCATCCTTGTGTGAGGCTTCTCTTATGTCTCTGCATGTGAAGCTGGAGCTGAGAGAGGGAGCTCAACCCACTCTCTCTAGATTTGAACCTCTGACCTGTCAGTCAGCAGTTCGGCTGACACAAGGGTTTACCCATTACATTACCAGGGCTCCAATATGATTTAGCTAGAAAAGAGGTAAACAGGGACATTATGCTGTGGGCTGTTGACTTTGTTACAGATGAAAATAGGTGATGAATTCTTATTGTTATTAAACACAGAATGAAAACATGAGCCAGTTGAAAAGAAATAGTATTATTTTATTATCACGGTCATGTATACAAGACAAATGAGTTACAAAAGTATGCAATCACTTAAATAGTAACAATCAAGACAGTCTGGGGTCAATGCTTAAGGAAGAAACAACAAGGTTTGAAGGAAGATTCTAAGGTTTTTTTTTCAGATTTGATGGTTTGGATGCATGAGGTGTGGCATTTCAGACAGTGGGCTGCAACCTTCAATTTCAGACACTGGGCTGCAACCTTCAATGCTCTTTATCATTAGCTATAGCTAAGGCTGTTGGTACTTGCATTCCAACAATACTTGGACACTCATTCTAAAAAGGATATTGGCTTGATCATGCCCTGCCCTGGTTAATAGATTAAACATGTTTCTACAGACAAACCACTCCATCAACACTGAACTTAACATCACTTAGCATTACCTTGTTCTTGAATCCAGCCAGTTCATGACAAATCATTTTGGCACTAGAAACAAACTGACAGTGTTTTTAAAAGATGCAACACAAAAGTTTGTATATTTGTGAATATGATGAGGGATTCCACAAACATATTTAATATTCCTATTTGTGTATAAGATTTCTGTGTAGTTGTTACATGTTGTCAGCCAGTAGAGGAAACACAGAAATTGAGAACAGTGGGTAGCAATGGAGAAGAAAACAATATAGTGCAGCAGGTTCAAAACACTGCTGCTGATAGCCCAGCATTGAGACTATCCCAACCATCAAGCGTGAATGTCTATATCAGCTGCAGCTCTAGTCAAAGGTGAGCTGTGAAACTGAATCCATATGAATACAATAGTGAAATGAACCAGAGGACCTGAGTTTGAATGAGCAGAGATTTTGCATTGTGCAGTGGTCAGAGGCAGACAGTTGGAGGTTACATCAGTTGACAGTCTCTTAGTGTCAAAAAGACACTTCCAGGAAAGTTAAAGTTATTCCGCTCACTTCTTATCTTCGTCTTCATTAGGGAAGAGCCTGAAAGCCAAGTAGTCCATGGACTCTTGAGCCAGCTTGGACAGGTGGAGCACCCCAGTGACTACCAGTGCAATGAGCACTAATGGCACCACCACATTCCACAAGGTTGCAAGGACATTGTAGCATTTGGCTTTGGAGCCATAGCGACGAGCAGCTTCCAGGTCACCAGCCACCTTCTGGTCCCTTGCCTTTAAGAGAGAGAGAGAAAGCATTGGTGAAGAAAGGGCCTGAGGAGAGACTGGAATGGAGAAGTCAAACTTTCAATATAGATAAAGAACAGATCAAAAGTGTTTTGAAGAGCAACACACTGGTAAACCTCAGACACTGAAGCTGCAAAGTTAGAAGCATATCATAGTGAGAAATCAGGAGATACCACACAGGAGTGTGTGACAGAGATTGTGTGTATATGGACCTCATCACATTAAGTGCCTTAATGCAGGTGGCAGCAAGGGGATTTGCTGGGCATTGCGGCAAATCTGTGGAGCAGATGGGGAATCCGTCAACCCATGCACTGCCTTGCCCACCACACTGCCTTCCCCATCACACAGGGAAAACATTGTTGCCAGGTTTCTCCCTATGCTGTCCCCACACTGTGCCCAAATTCTCCTGTGTTCTCTTTGCCCTATCATAGGATGCTTCCAGTACAGTTTGGGGATGGAGTCTTGCCAGCAGTAGCTGAGCCTTGTGTGAAGGGATCTGGTGGGCTCCAGCCCGGAATGAAAGTATGTGTGATGAAATTGTATGAGTTAGCAAATTTGGTCTATATAATCCACATGGTGGCTACAACACCGATGTGAGAACTGAAAATTATTTGGTGTGCATGGAGGAATGTTATACAAGTCCAAGCAGGTCAGCATTTCCTCAGGAATAAAGGAGTCCCCACTGCCAGATAACCTGGGAAAACAGATAATCTGGGATCAGATCCTGGGATATAGAATCTCCACTCCTGCAGTTTATGCCATTTACTTTAAATCAGTGGTTCTCAACCTTCCTAATGCCGTGACCCCTTAATGCAGTTCCTCATGTTGTGGTGACCCCCCAACCAAATTTGACACAATTACTAGATACACCCAAATTTGAATACTGGTGGGGTTGGGGGGAGGGTTGGTTTTGTCATTTGGGAGTTGTAGGTAAAGGTTTTCCCCTGACATTATGTCCAGTCATGTCTGACTTGGGTGTGGTGCTCATCTCCATTTCTAAGCCAAAGAGCCAGTGTTGTCCGTAGACACCTCCAAGGTCATGTGGCCAGCATAACTGCAGGGAGCATGGTTACCTTCCCACCAGAGCAGTACCTATTGATCTACTCACATTTGCATGTTTTTGAACTGCTAAGTTGGCAGAAGCTGGGGCTGACAGCGGAAGCTCATGTCGCTTGCTGGATTTGAACCTGCACCCTTTCGGTCAACAAGCTCAGCAACTCAATCAAAGAGCATTCTGATCTCCACCAATGATGTAATTGAAACAAACTTGGCACACAGATATCCCTTAACCAACAGAAAATATTGGAAGGGTTTGGTGGCCATTGACCTTGGTTTTGGAGCTGTAGCTCACCTACATCAGGCGAGCACTGTGGACTCAAACAATGATGGATCTGGACCAAACCTGGCAAGAATACTCAATCTGCCCAAATGTGAACACTGGTAGAGTTTGGGGAAATTAGACTTTGACACTTGGGAGTTGTAGTTGCTAGGATTTATAGTTCACCTACAATCAAAGAGCATTCTGAACTCCATCAAGCCGCAAGGGAGCCAAGTGAGCCTTCACACAAGCCCACCTTGGGCTCCTCCACGGCCTCGCCATTTGGCGAGTGCGCGGGGGAGCCCAGGGAGGGCTCGCGCGCGGGGGCGCCCAGGGAGGGCTCGTGCGAAGGCTGCCTCGGCTCCCATGGCTCCCTTGCAACCTCGCCATTTGGTGAAGCCGCAAGGGAGCCTTCACACGAGCCCTCCTTGGGCTCCTCCACGGCCTCGCCATTTGGCGAGCGCGCAGGGGAACCCAGGGAGGGCTCTTGCGAAGGCTGCCTCGGCTCCCTTGCGGCCTCGCCATTTGGTGAAGCCGCAAGGGAGCCTTCACACGAGCCCTCCTTGGGCTCCTCCACGGCCTCGCCATTTGGCGAGCGCGCAGGGAACCCAGGGAGGGCTCTTGCGAAGGCTGCCTCGGCTCCCTTGCGGCCTCGCCATTTGGTGAAGCCGCAAGGGAGCCTTCACACGAGCCCTCCTTGGGCTCCTCCACGGCCTCGCCATTTGGCGAGCGCGCGGGGGAGCCCAGGAAGGGCTCGTGCGAAGGCTGCCTTGGCTCCCTCGCGGCCTCGCCATTTGGTGAAGCCGCAAGGGAGCCAAGGGAGCCTTCACACGAGCCCTCCTTGGGCTCCTCCATGGCCTCACCATTTGGCGAGCGCGCGGGGGAGCCCAGGAAGGGTTCGCGCGAAGGCTGCCTCGGCTTCCTTGGCTCCCTTGCAGCCTCGCACGAAGCCTCTCTCGCCTAGACTGTGCTCCCGCCGGGCGGCAGGGGCACGATCTAGGAGAGAGAGGCTTCATGCAAGGCTAGGCCCCGCACGAAGCCTCTCTCGCCTAAGCTGCGCCCCTGCCGCCCGTGCTAGGCCCTGCACGAAGCCTCCCTCGCCTAACCCGCGTTCCTGCCAGCCGGCGGGATCGCGATCTCGGCGAGGGAAGTTTCATGTAAGGCAGCCATTTTGAGGGGGCGGGGCCAACCGAGGCCCCTTCGCGACCCCCAGAAAATGGCCCAGCGACCCCCCTGGGGGTCGCGACCCCCAGGTTGAGAACCGCTGCTTTAAATGTTAAAGTCTTAAAGTGGAAGCATAAGAAACTCCTGTGTAGTCATGCATCCAAAGCTAGTGGGTGCATGATCTGGAAGCATAACAAGAACAGAAATGTGATATAGCCTAGTTTGATAGAAAAACCCCTACCAATTATATTTTGGAGGGCAATATCATTCTCTTATCTCCGAGCAGGATGTCTGCTGTTGCCAGCAGGGAGAGGGCACCTCACCAGGAGAACAGTTTCTAATTCAAAGTAGTTTTACAAGGAGTGGCAGTGGGGTTCTTCTACCTGTACAGGGGATCTCCTGCCCCTGTGCTGAATCTACCCCTACTCTATGCAGTAGTAGATACAACAAGTGGTCCTTATGTTGCCCAGAATCCATGCATGGTCCCTTAAGGCTAATTATGCAGTCCCAAAATATACCAAATACAAACACCACAATTAATTTGTTTCTAGCAAAAATCAATAAACAGTGAATTGGTTCTCTGTAGCAGGTATTTTTTATTTAGGGTTCATTACCTGAAGAAGGTGTTTTCATCACCAACACCAAAACAAAGAACTACACCCAGGATACCTTGTTGTAACTGGTCACCATGTACAACCTTGGATGCCATGAATAGTCCTTTGAAAAGATCTATAAGTGACTCTAAATCATCAGACAGATTGGCCTATTATGTTTATGTTTATCTAAATGAATATGGACATTTATCCATGACTAAGATAAGTTATTCCTCTTTATTGTGTTTTAAGTATAAATCTGTCATATGACATCATATTTGAAGTTGCAATAACAACAGCATCATACTTTGTGTATCTTAGTAATAGATATCTGTGTTCTATATATTATTACCTTTTCTATAGGCCAAGACCTTCCTTATGGCTTCATTTTTGTTATTAGTGTGGATATTTGTGTGGTCCCTGCAGATGGTGACCCACAAAAATTACCCACCTCGATGTAAAGATAGAGAACAACAACAGTCTTTTGCACATTTTAACTCTCTGTATTTATAAGCTAGAAAAGCCAATGTGGGGTTTTTGTTGTTTTTTTGTAATTCGGCACTCCATGCAGTCATGCTGGCCACATGACCTTGGAAGTATCTACAGACAATGCTGGCTCTTCGGCTTAGAAGTGGAGATGAGCACCAACCCCCAGGGTTGGACACGACTGGACTTAATGTGGCAAACCTTTACTTTTACCTTAGATATTCTTAGAATGAACAGCTAACTGCCTATAGTTAATGATATCCTTTATATTTTATCAAATTTTCTTTGTCATATTTGGCATCCAAGTAGTGATTCTTGCAATCACTAATAAGTACTGTGAACATTTCCCCCTCTGTATCATCCTTATTATATTTCTTTTTCCTCTTTTCCAGCTTTTAATTTCTAAGCACTTTACGTTACTAAGATTTGAAAAATATTAGTTATTGAAATTTACCTGCTCAAAATTCTTGGCCAGAAAATACATTTAATTTCAGCTCTATTCATTTTTTTTACAGGAAAACCATAGAAAGAAATCACCACCTGATTCTAGCAAAGAAATCGTGAAATATAGATGTCTGAGTTCCACAGAATTCTTCAACAGTTCCTATGTTTCTAGTACACCCAACTGCTACAGATTTCTGGTGCCTGACTACTTTGTTTTGCCTTCAAGAAATTTCCAACATTTGACAAACTTAATGTGAATATATCACATGGTTTTCCTAGCAAGATTTTGGTGGGAGGGTGCATTGGCTTTCCTCTGAAATTGAGAGTGTGTAACTTTCCCAAGGTCACCCTGGTGGTTACCAAAGCCAAGCAGGGATTTGAACCCAATTCTCCAGAGCATAGTCAAATGCACAAGCCATGCTGTATTTCTGCCAGAGGTCTAAATGCCCCTCCCTGAGCCGTAAATCCCAGGATTCCTTAGAATGGAGAGCCATTGCAATTAAAGTGATACCCACCCGCTATATGTGTGTAGTACAGATACAGCCTTATTATTTTTCCTGTTTCTAAGGTTTGGTTGCATAGAATCATAGAGTTGGAAGAGACATTGTGGGCCATCCAATCCAACCCCCTGCCAAGAAGCAGAAAAATCGCATTCAAAGCACCCCCAACAGATGACCACCCAGCCTCTGTTTAAAAGCCTCCAAAGTAGGACCCTCCACCACACTCCAGGGCAGAGAGTTCCACTGCTGAACAGCTCTTACAGTCACTTCTTCCTAATGTTCAGGTGAATCTCCTTTCCTGTAGTTTGAAGCCATTGCTCTGCATCCCAGTCTCCAGAGCAGCAGAAAACAAGCTTGCTCCCTCCTCCTTATGACTTCCCTCACCTATTTATACATGGCCCTCATCATGTCTCCTCTCAGTCTTCTCTTCTTCAGGCTAAGCATGCCCAGCTCTTTAAGCTGCTTCTCAACGGGCTTTTTCTCCAGAGCCTTGATCATTTTAGTCGCCCTCTTCTGGACACATTCCAGCTTGTCAACATCTCCCTTCAGTTGTGGTGCCCAGAATTGGACACAGTATTTTTGGTGGTTTGATCAAGGCAGAATAGAGGGGTAGCATGACTTCCCTGGATTTAGACCCTCTATTCCTATTGCAGTTTCTTTTGAGCTGATCCTGCTACAGAATAGCCAGAGTACTGTTTGGCAATAGCTGCCTAGTAATATTACTTGAAGGCTGTTCCCTTGTAAATCTAAAATTCTTCAGAAAAAATAAAGGTTACTCAGAAATGTCCTACCTTGACAGAATAGGAAAGGGCCACAAAGCCGAGGCAGCAGAGGTTCATATAGATGGTGTTGAAGATAGACCAGATCATGTAGTCTCGTGGGACCACCGGAGGCCTGACGGTGATGACTGTGGGGGACGGTTCCTGCTTTTGGGATGTCATGGGCAGGTAGTCTTCACGCGGGTAAGATGTGTCCATAATTCTAGTTGGAGAGAAATGCACCTTTTCCCAGCAAATGACAGCCTGTGAGAGAGCCAGGCGGGGACAACCCTTTTATATGCTGTGGTGCTGAGGCACACATTCATCTCTGTCTATATATAAACTAGGGAAATTACAGCTGTAGTTTGACTGTGGTTATCAGAAATGCCTTGCTGGGGCTAAGAGAAATATTTGGTTTCCAATCCTGCCCTAACCCCCTTGGACAAGGCATGCTTTTTATAACCAAGCAGTTGGCTTTGGCCTACTCCCCAACCCACAGAACTGGTTAGTAATTCAGGCTTCAAAGGCAGCCAAGGCAGATGCAATGTTCAGCAAGTGGCAAGGTGCTACTTATGCATTTATGCTACAAGTGCTCTCATATGTGAGAGACCCTTAGATCAGTGGGCAGCAAGGCATATCTTGTAGTTGATTGTACCTTACAGCAGGAGAAATGTCTCCTGGTTATCATTCTTTCTGCTGAATTGTCTCTCCTGAACACTTAGCCTGTTTGCCTGGGCTATGGCACCATCCTTCATGTAAATTGAAGAGTATAGCTGAGACCACTGGCTAAGTCAGATATGCTGATGACAATTTGCAATTAGAGCTCTTCAAATACATGAATGCCTTTGATCAAAGTTGCAGTGCTGAGACTTTGTCCAACTCTTGGATTATATTGTTTATTGTACCTGCTTCACTTCTAGTACTGCACAATGTTCCTCAGAGATCATAAGGTCTTGGTTCAGTTCCAAGAAAGCAATGAAAACAAATCATAAATCAAAGGAGGTAAAGAATAAGTTATTCTTAATATTTATGAGTCGTAGCCTCCTCTTAGAATTGGAAAAAAAGCTATTTCCACTATCCCTAGAAGAAATAACATATAAACATAGGCTATAATCCTGTTAGTGGCTTACAAAGATATAAATCCAAATTACACCTGCACAACTTACTTGTCCAATATTTGCAGAAGACAGCAATCAAACTTCCTCCCACAAACACACTTTTCAATCTACTGCAATCCTCACCAATACTGTCCAGTAAAGAGTGAGTAGGAAAAAAATGGAGCATCTTCCAGCTACATGCCTATAGTTAGGTACAAAGTATCAGATATTCTCTTGTGGTCTATGCTGTGAACACTTAGAACCTTATCACACCAGTATGTTGTCCCATGGCATTTGCATTATTGAAACAAATGTTGAGGCCTGTGGAGCCTCTGAGGATGAGGATGAAGGTTTTCTGATTGAGCCTGGTGTTCCTGTGGTGATACAATAGACTCCTGTGTAGATTTAATTTACTAACAAAACTCCGTAGCCAACATATCATATTTTTCTTTATCTCACGTCTTTTTTTCTTTCTTCCTCCCTTTTTAATGTTATAAAACTATGAAAATAAAATTAAAAACTTGTAAAGACCGGCTTTAGCACCACAGGTTAAACACCAGCTATAGTCAATCTTGTCAATTGAAAGGCTGCCAGTTCAAAGCCAGATCAGGGTGAACTCCTGGCCTTAGCCCAGTTTCTGCCCACCTAGCGGTTTGAAAGCAAAAAATGTGATTAGATAAATAGGTGCCACTCATTAAAAAGCGGGGAGATATTCTGAGGCACCCAGAAGGAATGCCAGTGATTCAATCCAAAGGAGCAAAGTTACGAACTAGCTCTTCAACAGGGAGATGAAGCAACAGCACCCCCCCCCCCCACATGGCCGGAATCAAGCATAAAACCTTCCAAGATGCCAGAAAGATGGGGAAAGCTGATATATGTATAGGTAAAGGTAGTCTCCTGACATTAAGTCCAGTCATGTCTGACTCTGGGGTGTGGTGCTCATCTCCATTTCTAAGCCGAAGAGCCAGCGTTGTCCGTAGACACCTCCAAGGTCATGTGGCCGGCATGACTGCATGGAGCGCCGTTACCTTCCCGCCGGAGCGGTACCTATTGATCTACTCACATTTGCATGTTTTCGAACTGCTAGGTTGGCAGAAGCTAGGGCTGACAGCGGAAGCTCACGCCGCTCCCCGGAATCGAACCTGCGACCTTTCGATCAACAAGCTCAGCAGCTCAGTGCTTTAACCTACTGCGCCACCGGGGGCTCCAGATATATGTATATGTATATGTGTATATAATCTATGTATAATTGTCTGTCTAGTTGTGTATAAAACAGCATTGAATGTTTGCCACATATCTATGTTCTGTGATCTGCCCTGAGTCCCCTTCAGAGTGAGAAGGGTAGAATATAAATACTGTAAATCAATCAATAAATAAATAAAAAGAAAAGAAAAGAAAACACATGATTTCTTTCCTTCTGAGCCCACTGTGTCAATTGCTCCAGCACACATGCACGTTTTAAAAGCCCAAAACAGTTGATCAGGCTGTTAAAAAATGGAGTCATGGACACACAGATGGCACAATCTAAGCACAGTTGGAAAGCAATTAGAACTCTCTGCAAGCATTTCTTTGTTCTGATCTTTATTACATTAAACAGAGCTTGAATTTAGAATTGGATGAAGAGCGAGGCTAAGAACTCTGCTTGTGTGTACATTAGGATCTCCGCAGGAATGCATTTGAGGTCCAGCGCATCTCAGAGAGAATTTTTAAAAAATCTGCAGAGTGTTGTCCTCCCCCCCGCCCCATCTTGTGGGCCTGTAAAATCTGCTTCAAAGGAAGATGTGAGAATGGTCGAGGAGCATTACCTGAGACTGACAGATCTGTGTGTGGACTTGCTGTCAGGTCCTGGGATTTTTTGCCGCAATTTTTAAACCTGCATTTTGGTGCTGTCTGGAAGCGTCCTGAGAAGACCCTAATTTCAACAGCCCTACTCATGACTTGCACACTCAGGGCTATGGGAATGCAATTTTCTTTTACTGCCTTCTTCCTTACCAATCATTGCTGTCTCTGAGAGGGTTTTCATGGTTGAACAAGGATCTCAACCTGGGTTTCCCAGAGTCCAATTCAAACTATGACATTATCCTGGAACCTATACTTCTATTATCTTCTTATAGAACAATGAGGCCATATAGACACAGATTCACCTATAAAAACAATCTGAGAAAGAATGCCTATAAACCAGAGCAGACATTGAAGATTCAGATTCATGCTTCCCTTTTCTTTAGTTCTAACTCCACCAAGTGGCTTTTTGAAGAAATACAAGAAAGATGGTCAAAAGAAAGAATGTGGTAACATCTAAAGCAGAGGTGGGGAAAGTGTACACACCAGGTGCAAAGTGTGCCCCCCCCCCCAAGTGTCTGAGTCCCATCCTCATTCCATGTAAAAGCAGAGACACCCTCACTACTTGACATAACCAGTATCAGTTGCCACCAATTGGAGCAAACAATGTTCTGCTTGCTGTGACAACCAAGATGCTCTTATCATAATTTCATTCCTTCCATTCCTGGCAGCAATCTTGTTGGTCCCTTTAAATGCTCCCACCCTCTTTCCACCTCTTCTGGTCTGATTCTCTGCTTACACATCTCTTTTGCTCAACTCCATTCAAAATAAATCTTGTTGGTCATTGCACCCCACTGCCACCCCTCCTTTCATTCTCCTTTGCTGGAATCTCTGCTTTAAAGCATCTTTGCCCAACAACTTTTAACAGAAAATTTGACAATCCCTCCAAATGTTGGCACCCTTTTTTCCTGAAAAGATAATACAGTCAGCACTCCACATTATATGAGGTTATGGGCACAAACCTCTGTGAAAGTGGAATTTTTGCACATCAAGCTGCAAACCCAGCCTCGAGCTGCAAGAATGAGCAATAAATAAATAAATGTTATTATTTAAAAATGCAAATAAAGACATTGCTATTTTATTACCTGAGAGAACACCTCTCTGGGTATTTCTAGGTCTTCCAGGACAACTTGATGGACAGCTTATTTTTTTATGTATAATGGCAAAAAGAAGAAGGCAAAAGTTACTGGTCGAAGATGTATACATTTATTTATTTTATTTATTTACCATATTTCAACCCTACCCTTCTTAACCCCAAAGGAGACTCAAGGTGGCTTTACACATTGGCAACTATTCAATGCCATAAAACAACATACAATTAAAACAAACATTTAAATAAAAATTAAAACCAGAAATTGCAGTGTACTAAAAAAAAAATCAGTTGGGTGTTATGGATAAAGAACTGAATAGTAAATACGGGTGAGTTCTTCAATAAATGACAACAACAAGAATATTGTTTGCTCAAACCTGGCGCAGAATTAATGCAGTTCAACACCACTTCAATGCTATGGAATTGAAAGATTTGTAATACTGTGGGGTATCACAGCACTCTTTTCTTGAGACAACCTAAAGTTGTAAAACTGCAAGTCCAGTTATTTCATAGGTACTTACTTACTTAGGCAATCCCTTGTAGTCCGAGGATGATGGTCCTCCAAGTGTGGTGTCCTGGCTGTGGGTCCGTAGGTGACTGTGGAGCCCTATTCTTGATTTGCATCTTTCCCACAATGAAGGCATCGGTTCCCAGGTGGAAGGCGGTCCCAGTCGGGGTTGGCTTGATGCGCCTTCAAGGGCCAGGGCTTCCCAGTTCTCAGTGTCTATGCCAGAGTTTTTAAGGTTGGCTTTGAGCCTGTCTTTAAATCTCTTTTCCTGTCCACCAACATTCTGCTTTCCGCTCTTGAGTTTGGAGTAGAGCAACTGCTTTAGGAGATGGTGGTCGGGCATTCAGACAACGTGGTCGGTCCAGTGGCAGAGGACCATTGCTTCAGTGCTGGTGGTCTTTGCTTCTTCCAGCACACTAACATTTGTCAGCTTGTCTTCCCAAGAGATTTGCAGGATTTTTCGGAGGTAGAGCCGTGACAACTAAAATGAATTCGAACTCACTTTCACTGCAGATGTACCTTTGAAATGGACTAAAGCACTGTGGAAGAATGCATTGTTACTTTTGTGTTTTTGCAAATGGCCCAATAAACATGGGTTCTGAAGAATAATTCAATACATATTTTTTAAAGATTGAAAACGATTTGTGGATGTTTTAAAGTTTTAAATTTTCTGTGATAAGAAATTTAATAATGTAATAATCTGGGGCTAAGGCTATTAGTAATTTCAGTAAGATTATTTAGTTACATCTGCCATGGTAGATTTTTTTCCTTTTTAATTTTCATTTCATTGCAATCAATATTTGGAGGAGCTCAGTGCCATATTGTTGTTTAGTTTTCTCTACTCTCTCTTCTTTTTTCCACTGTTTCTTTGTCGGCGTCGTCCCCCCAAGTTTATATTATTTTGATGATAAATTAAATTATTTGTCTTAAAAATCTATAAATAAATTGAGGAGGGAACAGAAGAGCCAATATGAGAACA